AAGGATGACAATCAAAGAGGTCATAACTACACTTGTAGGAACGACTGGCGATACGGCTCTCAATGTCGCTACATGCTCATGTATGAGTAGCAATAATATAATAATAAATAGACACTTGAAAAAAGCAGCTAGAAACATAGTTATTCAGATCTCTAATGAAGCCGTCATCATACTTTAATGAAAATACCACACTGATCTGATCCACGATTCATTGTAGCTTCATGGAATATTAGTACTCCAATTACGGTCATTATAATGAGCAGAAACTGCTAAAGAATGTTTATTGTTTGCATAAAGTATGTTAATCCAGTTAATACCTTTCACGTCAAATTCTTTAGAAATTTACCTCCGAAGGCTTATTATCAGGACAAAGCTTCTATTAGCGCATTAAGAATACAAAAATGTGGTCTTGATGAGCTTGCGTAAAAAATGCGTTAGAACAACATTAATAGAACAAAATGTCTACAGTTTAAGAAAATAAATGGTATAGGCGGGTTTTACTAATGGAATTACATTTTCGAGAGTAAACAAAAAATCTGATCTAAAAAATCGCCTTGTAGTAAATACGGAAAAATATGACGTACCTAATATGCTTTAGAGAAGAGGTGTACGAGAACTGCAAAAATCGTCAATTTATAAATGTATTCTTCTAAGGTTTTGTAGTGACTACCATAAAAAGGCAAAAATCGTCAATAACATTTTTCTAATAAATGGTCAATATTTTGGTTAGTTAGACCTGCAACAGGGTGGGCAAATTGCAGCAAAAAAGGATGAAATTAATCATGATATTCAACGATATTCGTGCCCTTCAAAAAGAATACTTATTTTTTGATTGAATCAAATTAGCAAGCTGAAATTCGAGTTGATGGAATTGATGCATGAGTACTATATTTTGAAGAAAAATATATCGGTTGAAAATTTCATGATAGAGGCTGGATAAAATATTTTTTAAATAGAATTGGGGATCGTATGTCTCTCAATTGGAACATCCTCATCAGTACTTTATAACTCAAGAATAAAAATGTAATACCTTTCAAATTGGCCGACTGTCAAAGTTGGGCGTTTTTGTACATTCAATCGCTTATGAGTCAATAACCCCATAAAAACGGTATGAATCTTCTTGTATCTGTCTATCTGAATGTGCAATAAAACATGGCACATTCAATTTAAATATTTTTCACCAATTTCTTTAAAATTGCTTATAACATATTCGGATGGTCCCTTCTTAGAGAAGAGTTATGATAGTTAGTGCTTTGAGATTCTAAGGTGATAAATTAATCAGAATGAGCTTCGTAATGAGGAATTACATGACCCGCCATTCCATTACCACATTTTTTGACTGTCACTTTTACATTGAGGCACGAATTTCAGCTTGCTAGAGTGATTTGTTCAAAAAATTAGCACGTTATAACACACATAAACTAAAGATCGATCTGATAGATATACATCGCATTGATTCAATTCCTGTACATTTCAAGAAAAAAGTTAAAATCCGACATTTTGTTTAAAATCGCTTCTTTTCCTGAAATTTGACATTTGAATAAAGTGCGAAATTGGGCTACAATCTGGTACAATTTTCTTTTTCTCTCTCTATAATCAAATTCAAGCGAATAACCAAATGATAACCCATTTTGGATTGGTATTTACCGATCCGTTCGAGCGAGTGTGGTTATCAGTTTGGTTATAAGATCCGTGCCGTCATGAATCAGCTGCTATATGTCATAGTTATCACCGAAAATTGTGGTATTTACCCAACTCGGGAGTAGTTTTATATTTCTGGTTATTATTTGAAATGTGACAAGTTAAAATTTTGGAGGGTATTGGATATTTTTATTGTACTTCAGCTTCAGTTTTGGGAAACTTGATACAGGCTGACTTCAGTTTTAGCATAACGTAGAGCACCTTATTAGTTATAATCATTACTGTTGTTGGGCACACTTTAAATCGAGTTCATATGCTTAACAAAGTATCCTGTGTAGCCATATACCACAAGAATATTAAAATATATATACACTCACTGGATGATGTCCACTTATATACGGTTTTGCTAATATCTTTTTTTCAGCGCTTTTTCCTATCATTTCTGCTAAATAAATAAATGTTTTCTTTGACATGCGGAAAAGTTTAGAGAATTGAAAGTTATCATAGCTACAAAGCCATCATTAAAAATTTTTTTCTGAAAAAAATGTGTCCCATTATTATTTTGAAAGGTTTCTTTTTTAAACTTTCCATACACATAGACGAAAAAGCATCGATTATTAAGTGATAATAAAAATAATCAGAAATTATATACGAGCTTTTCTAAAATAAACAACTTGCAACAAAACCGCGGTTAAAACCAACGCGTTCAAGCGATTCGAGTAACTGACGTCATCAACCCGTGTGTCATGTTGAACCATATTATAACCGCGGTACATATCATAGAAGTTTTGGTTATTCACTTGGATTTGATTCATATATAAATGTGAATGCCTGTCCAGTCTGTCAGCGTCACTTTTGCGCAACAATACGGAAATACCTAAAAAAAATTACACATACTAATTGATCCCCGGTGGAGATTATAGGCATGGATTTATATGCTAATTTTTCGTTGATTTTGTAAACAACTGTCGCGACAACTACCAAAAATGTTCACCATCAAGCTGTCAACGGCGCGGCCTGTCATCTCCCCACTCAACCAGTGACCGTTAAGCGATGCAGTTGTTTTATTTTGCTTAGCAGGAAACAATGCTATTAACTGCCGATCACTTTTTTTATCTTCCATATTATTAGTAAACTGACAGTCAACTTGAATATTTGGGAAAATTTTTTACTTTTTTAGTAGGACAACCAACGATTTCTATATGCGAATAAAACTATATTAAATAGAAAAATTGAGAAAATGTTATGCTAGTCTTTGATACTGAGTAAAATAGCTTACTGCAAAATTGTTTATTATTCCTGTCTTGATGAAATAACTAAATACACGCTGCAAACAATTCAAAATACATGATCCTGCTAAATAAATAAACAATTTAAGAAGGTATGATCACGTTTTTCGCTGAATATCTTCCATGAGTTGGTTAAAAATAACCTATATGTAGAATTATAACTTTGTCACATTTGCCATCAAGATATTAAAAACAACCTCACACATTGCTGCAATACGGGACATCCACACTTCAACGCTCTTTCACGAAGAATGCGGTGAAATTAATTAATTCATATGACCACAACTTTAAAAAAAAACGTATACGAATTGTTTATTACATGCTTAATTATTTTTTATTTTTTTTTGCGTTTTTTCCCAGTTTCAACTATATGTTAATCTTATGTCTCTTCCTGATCCTTCAGATTGGTACCAAGGCCATCTAGGCCCTCTGCTTTTAGATAACATTTTTATCTAATATCTAATTATTTTCCTTCAGGCTAGGTTTTAGATTAAGGTAGTAATAAACTTTATGATCGTAACCTATATATTTGTTACAATAAATTCGATTGAATTGAATTGAACCTACACGTTCCGCGGGTAAAACTGCGTGGCAGAAAGTTAGTGTGAAACAAATTCCTACTTATTTCATATAAACTATCATCCATTAGTTGTCTGTGCTAAAACACAGACGTCCTTTATGTTGTCTACCACATCGTTCTTGCCATGACTTGCATAGTGACTTTTGTCTCCGTATAAAGTTGAAAACACGAGTTATATCAGCCGTTCCTGCTGATATGCCAGGAATACTGCCGACGATGCTACTAATTTTCTAGAAGACCTAGAGTCTACTTTATTGTTCTCAACACATTTTATAGTCAGTCAGATTTAAGCCTTTGTACTGTTAACATCATAATAACATTGTAATAATTTTGTAAAAGTACATTTTTGAGTTTTGTATTTTCGAAAATAAACTTTTTTAAAAAGCGATCTCGAGGCATCGAACTTATAACTCACGTGTTATTTTATAACGTTCAAATGGCTTTGTTTATGATAATCAGCCTTTTATTCCGCCTATCGTGAAACCCCTGGCAAATCAGTCTCGGTCGGCGTCGTCGTCATTTGTTTTTCCGTATCATCACAGGTGCCTTCATTACCGACTTCCGCCGTCTCTCAGATTTTCCCAACGATCGTTTCGCCTTATTTGCACGATTAATTATATCGACTTCTTCAACATCGTCGTTATCGTCGTCGTCTGCTGTGCTTTTTATAGTTACTATATACTGTCGGATACGATCTACAAACCCAGTTTGAAGTAGTTCTCAAGTCCATCATCAGCGAAGGTGATAAAAATAAATGTTAATAGTTTTATTTGCTTTGTTATCCCGAAACAAAGTTTGTTCAAATCATATGGCTAATATAAAACACCACCTGAGTTGGATGAAACTTTAATAATCAGGCAATTATAATGGTTTCTTTTGCCGGCCAGACAAACATGGAGATTTGAAAACATTTGAGATTTCTTTTTTTTTTTAAATAAGTTTTGTTTTAAAGAAAAAAAAACTTAAGGACTTGAAATCAGACTTCGGTAGCAGGCAGATTAGCCAAGCAGCTGTTATGACAAAGCCTGAACTAGCATTTTTCCCAATTTATCAAATCTCAAAACTCTATGAAAATCTATAAAATAATCAGACATTTCTGAGATATATAATTAATATGATCCGGCTAGTTCTTTAACCTACACCACTGACAAGGTAAATAAAGTCGTTGCATATCTCACACTGCTGATGCCATCTGATGGAGGCCCCAGTACTGAGAGGCGCAGGATTTTGACCCGGGTGGCAAACGCGGTTATGCGGTATGAAGCTATTGTATAACAAGACCTTGAGGAAAAATAAATATCAACAAAACGGTGTTGACCGATGCACTGCTGGTGGTAGCTAGAAGCGACGAAAGAGAGGCGGCATCTTGGACACAGTTACTGACAGGTTGGTGACTGCTGTACGATCTTTATACTACTGTAAAACGTTATGCACAGCAAGAAGCCTAATAAATGTATAGTGCAACAAAATGTTTGTGACAGAAGTCTCACCTTTTCGTCCTTCGCCAATCTCTCCCTAGTCGGTGAAGGCCTCGTAATACTGATCCTGGTGGTAGACCTCCCCGCTACATGTCTTTGGAGCTTCTCCACGTTGTATGTCTGTCTCCATCCGAATAGTTGTGCCAACTTTTCGGCCACTTCGGTGCATTTCGGAGCCGCGGTCAACGTTTGACAGGTGTCAAACATGGTGGAGTCACGGGATTTTCGGGGAAAGTTGGTGGACGAAGGGGATAAAGGGGCAGCGGGTGGACAACGGGGGTCGTCGCGGGAGCATTTTGAGGAGGATGAGCGGGTAGGAGGTATGCTGGTGTAGCTGGAAATGACGCGGTATCAGTTTTGTGGTCTGAGTGTATGCAGATGCGGCGTGGAAGACAGGTTTTAGGCAGTTTTTTTGTTTTTAATTTGTGGGCAGTATACAGGAAACACTCAATATTTATGAAGACGAAACCCGTTATTGTCATGTCACGTGAACTCATGCTATCAGGCAAGCTAACATAAGGAAATCTAAATTGATGCATTAACAAAAGTATCTAAGTGTCCATATTTGCGAAAACGTGGTGTTACTAATTGTGAGTTTACGTTATAACTTAGTTTGCGTGGTAGTTCGTGAGTTTGTGACGCGAATAATAAGTCTTGCTTTTACAGTAATGAAAATTATTAGGATTTTTAAACAGGGTGTTTTCTAAACGCGTGACAAAAATTGAAAGGTTTGAACTATTTTGTCTTTTGAGAATTTTTTTGTAAATCCACTTCAAATCAAGCAAAGTTTTGTGAAATATTTTTTTTATTCATAAACATTCAGCTTATATTCAAAAACTATTTGATACACTCTGTTACATAATGTTGAAGGAATATTAAATGGCATAATCAGCACTTTATAATATGAAAAGAAGTTCATATACACATAGGTCCGGAAATTCCATTATATTTGTCTGCCTTTGATCATTTTATATTCCTTGAAAACGGAATGCGGTATTGAGATTGAGAAGAGAGTTTTAGTACATGCAAATGTACTTTCGAAGGTTATACGTACAAAACTGTCGGTCATGTTGGCAAGTCTCTATCTTTAGTGGCTCTAATCTTATGTCTCTACTTTCTAATCCTACTGGATTACACTCAGCTTAAACAAATCTTGTGTGATAATTCCACGCCTCCATCTAAAACACGTCAAGGTACCTAAAAGACCACAAACACAAAACAACAGAAGCAACTTTCCGCCAATAACACTAGTAATTATGACATAAGCGTTTATCCGAACATAATCTCTCAGACAGATTCTTAGCTATAGTGTTGTATTTGCGGCCTCCATGTACAATTTCTGGTGTTGAAATGAGACAGCAGCGGACGGAGATGCGTTGCGAAATGCGATGCGAATTAAATGCAGCAGATGGAAGGTATGCATGCATAAACTGTTGATTTGATTTTATGTGATTCATTGTTTTATTGGTTATTCTTATATTGACTGATTCCCTCTAACTTTGAAACTAAGAAATAGATAGTTTTTGGTTTTTATAAAGCTGGTTGGTAAAGTAGCCACAAAGAAAATGGAAGGGTTCTTAGAACGTCATTAATCTGAGTAACTGAAGATTTTAGCTTTATAGACAAAAAAAAACAGAAATTTTTCTAAAAAGCTGGTTTATTAAAAAGGGGCATGCACCCACAAAGTCATTAGTCTGAGTAAGGCTACTAAGCTAATTGATCGCTTTCTTAACTAAAAACTACGACATAAGAATCTCAAATGAGTATTGTGATAACCAGGAGCATGTAACACAAACACCACGATTCGTACAAGCCTACAAGTTACAAGTAACTTGCCGTACCCACATATCTCAATTCTGTAAGACATCGCAAATAACTACACTTGTAATTGATGAGTAAAGCTTAGCAAATGTTGCTAGGTTATGTAACCTCCATATACCACGACCATCATCATCATCAGCGATAAAAACTTGTCACAGTATTAGCTAGATTTTGCGAGTTAGGATCATATCTTTTCACATGACAAGTATACAGTGCTTTTCAAAAAGGTCCTCCCTGCTTATTTTTTGAACGGGTCAAGATTGCAAGTTCAAAAGTTGGGGTGATGAAATTGATGCGTAAATACCATATTTACACGTAAAAATACCATTAGAAAATTTCAAGATGGCGACTAGGCATGGTATTATGTTACGAAACAAGTTTCACAAATGTATAACTCGTAGTGTTTGTGTTACAGGGCAATGTTCATGAAGCTAATTCGGGTAAAGTACACAGTGCGACAACAAAGCAATTCAAGCTTGCGCTCTAGTTGGATAAAAATGAGGGGTATGTACAGTCGACTGTCAGGAGATCAGGCCATATTTTTAAATCATATTGGAAAAGACCCTTTTGAAAGAATAAAATTAATATACTATCGTTATAAATAAGGTAGAATAGAGTCAATATACAAAATTTCTCGGCTCTGACAGCCCGCCAGTCCACCACTTTGAAACATACAGAACTTTATATTTTAGGGTTATACATTACTCATAAAGTGCTCCAAAAAGTAGTACCATATAACCCGCTATCTTAATATTTTCAAATGTCGCATTTACGCTAAAATACCTACACATTCATCAATCCCATTATCCTTAATTTCAACCTGACCCGTTAAAAAAGTAAATAGGGACATTGAAGGAAAGTTACTGTGTTTTTTGGTCTACCAGACTTTTTATCAGCTTTTGTCATGCAGTCAATTAGAAGAGCATCGCTACCTGTTAGATATATAATTTATCTATACACAACTGGCTTCAATTTTAATCAACATTCCTTGAACACTGTTGTAATAGATATTTTTTTTATAACTGTGAATAGTAGGAAATTAAATGTGAATGGAAACGAACTTCATTATTTCGCATATCGTGAAAACAATAGCAATGTAGCCATAGAAACAGATACTGTGACTATGGCTACTAATACTCGTATTTTCGCAATGTTCTTCGAAATTTTAATGTTCATTAAAAAACACACAAGGTGACAACTAATGTAAAATTAAAATACATACGTTATTGAAACTGGAATGCAGGTTTCGTAATTTTAGTAATGTTAGATGTCATATTTTTAACGAATCGTTATTATATCATGATTTTTTCAATATCAGATCATATTACCAGAAAAAATGTTTCAGTAGTGAAATTTTCTAATAATACAAAACATCCGTTGTTAACTTTCTAATCATATAGATATTTTCTATCAGACTTCCACAGAAAACAGTATTAGCCGACAGTAGTATAGTTAGTAATTTGTTCAACATTTACTGATACTGATTCTATTTGGGTTGTACCTCGCCTATGCACGATAGGCATATATAACAACCATATTCGGGATTGCAAAGAATACAAATAGACAGAAACCAAGTTATTGAGCTCTCTACCCAAACTTCAACTTCAACCAACGACTCTTATTTGTGTAATTTGATTACAGTTATATACAAGTTTGAGTCCGGCGACTTCTCTAGTTGCAAGCCTCTGTTTTTTGATCTCAGGTACCAAAAAAAGTAGATTGAGTTATCAAAAATACCACGCCATTTTGAGCATATTTTAGCTTGTGATATTCAACATTTGTAAAATATACTGCAATCGACTAACGGAACTGAAGAGAGTAGAAATATAGTATGGCACACAGCGGGATCCGCGCGTACCAGCTTTGTTGATTCAAAGGAACGTCGCGCTAGCACTGGCGTGCGATGTGTTTTGTTACTATCTTCCTTTTCGGTACCAGCATATAGCGAAAGAGCAAGAAAATACAGACAAAGAGAATCAATTAGAGAGAGATAGGAGATGTAACCAAACATATGGCGTCCACAAAACAGCTGATGGCGTCTAAACACATGCTGTTTATATTTGGTCAAAGATAACTACGGTGTTGCCAGAAAGATAATCATTGTTTGAATTGATTGTCCATTACTCGGTGTGAACGCATTTTTTGTTTACATTTACTTTGTTTTTTTGTGGGGATATTTGACATCCGTCTGCAGCCTACGAAGTATATTTTTCATTCAATAAAGTTACAAATCTCTCCGCGTCATGTAACATTCTCAAAACCTGTCAGTTATCACATAGCTATTTAACTTTCAGGTCCCTATTAGTAACAAAACAGGAATGTCAACTTGAAATTCAAATTTTTTTTCGGGCCTCAAATTGCTTATTTGGCCAACCTCCGGTGTATTTGACCATTGATGAACATAGTCTACCTGAAAATAGCCACTCTAATGTGGTATTCGCGCGTCCAAAGATTGTCCGAAATGGAATGAGTAGTGTCATCTATGAGAATTTGCTACAGCTAAGTTCCTCCTCTCCGTAATAATTTGAAATCTACATGGAAAAAGTTTGGTATCTGGTATCTCGCAGATGATCATATAATATAGTTAGGCTGAAGCGCTATCTACGCGACTCTTAACCTTTCCAAAGTGGATTTCTAATTATTGCGGAGAGGGGAAACATAGCTGTGGCGAGTTCTAATAGATGGCGCTACGATATGTCATTTCATCTCTTATATTGGCCGTCTTTGGTTAAAATCCGTTAATCAATGATTTGACACAACTTCCAGTTATCAGGCTGACCTTAAGATGATATATTTACTTATTTCATAAAAGTTTTCGCCGCAACCACCAGAAACCGCAAAAAGAACGAAACTCCATTCAGATCAGAATAAATGTAGCGTTTTCTAAACATTTTATGTCATTTTGGCAACACCGCCTCGGTGAATGTAGAGCGAAACCCGCGGATGCTTGACAGAATGTCGAGCGATCTAGGAGCGAATCGCCAAGCCAAGCTCATAGATCGCTTTTTTGTAAGCTGGTAATAGTCCAAGAGCCGGCCGCAAAGTTTTGGTTACATCGCGTACTGATATATGTTAAAAACTAGTAAATACTTACGTATTTTGATGCTGGCAAGTACGCGATAACATAATCAAATTTTTCAAAGGTCAATGGAGTGGACTGACGTATTATAAATACATTCCACGAGGCGTTTTCTCTTGATATAACTACTCTTTGTCATAGCAGGAGAGTGCGGTGAGTTATATGCTACTCTTTTCATTTTGGTAACAGCATATGAAACCTGTTACCTATGAAATCCAAAAGCAATATTCGAGTGTGGCTACTTATAAAACCTAAAAAGTCACCATAAAAAGAAACTTCTAATTATTGCTAACAGTCTCCGAGAATATACCAATCGAATATACCATACGACGTAATTGCACATACTCCATAAACTCTCATATGCTAATAGTGCAAATTATCCCTTAGAAATGCTGAGTGAGAAAATGCATAAAAACCTGATATTTATGATTATCGCTTTAAAAGCATGCTCAAGCTTTGAAAAGCAGAGTAAAAAGACTCTCCCCATTGATAATTAATAGCCACTAGACCAAAGGCTGTCGCACAGCTACCGCTATAACTTTCAATTTTTTTCATTCGAATAACATCATCGGCCGATTTGCTACATTCCGCTATCAATGTGCACATGATTAATTCAGGTTTGTGCATGTGCACGGAGCGATCTTGAAAAGCAGGAGAATGCCGCAGCTAGTAATGGGCCTTCTGATGGACGCCCCGTTAAATTAATTCTATGGTACTACTAATGAGCGTTATTCTCAAGGTTAGCCTGCGGTGCCCTGCTTGAGATGCTGTTGGTGATTCTCTTTCTTTTTTAGTGTACCTAGGGTCATTGATTATGCATGGAGGGGTATAAGGTTCTCAGTTGGAATTTGTAGTACTTAGAGTAAATCTATCTAAATATATCTAATAAATCAAATTCAACTTCAAGAGGGAGTAAGCAGACC